CTACTCAAACAACCTCTTTACCTTCCTTAGCCACTGCCCAAACTAACCCAACACCCCTTACCACAACCCTGCCCCAAAATACCTCAAAACCCATTTATATTTCATCCCTGGCCACTGTCCAAACAAGCCCCAAAACCCTCTTCATACCCCTGCCTCCAAACTTGCCTACAACCATGCCTATAATTCCTCCACAAACTGCTCTAAACATCCTCACGCCTACCCCTACACCCCCACTTGAAAAACCATCTAAAACCATGCCTTTACCCCTCCTGACCACTGCCCATCACACCCCCAACTCCGGTCCGATGCCCTCACCCCAATCCGTTCCCAACGTCATGTCTTTAAGCCAACCACAAACCCCCAAGAGTACCCTTGAAGAGTCATCTTTCTTCATGGTTCAAACCCCCACTTATGCTCCCCAATTTTCTTAGCCCGAACAGCCCTCCTCTCAAACTACCGAAACAATGCAGCCCACTTCCCCAAAGAACGTTTGGGACAAATATGATGACGAGGACTATGATCCCATTTGGGATGAAGAACGTGTCAAAGAGAATGAAGAAGTGTTTGAGGACGCAGAGGATAACCCGTTTTGGGTTACAGAGATAAAAGAAGAAGAGCAAAAAGAGAAGGTCCACGAAGAAGTCGTCACTCCTGGCGCGGAAACCTCCGCTCGAGACCTTTCTTCGTTAACGGTACTTCGTACCAAACATGTTGAGTTTTTGCAGCCCCGTATGAAAAGAAGGTTGAGAAGAGTCATGACTCAAAATGGTCCATTCAACCCGGCGACCTAGTATGGGTTCACGTTCATAAGGCGCGTTTATTTAATAAACGCAAGTCAAAGCTACAACCCCAAGACGATGGTCCTTTTGAAGTGTTGGCAAAGGTTCACAAAAATTCCTACCTGGTCAATCTTACACTAGGCCTAGAAGTTGCTGCCACGTTTCATCGAAGAGATCTTAGCCCGTACGAGGATTTTGAAGATCTTCCGAGTTTGAGGACAAACTCTTTTGAAGACCGGGAGGATGTTATATCTGGGCCCAGCCCTATCCTACCCTCCCCCATGTCCCACACTCCCATGGGAACCAAATGACTTACGTTCAAACATTATGATCCATTTTAGTAACAATTCAAAGTCCTTTAACCCGGAAGGCCAAATAACTTTCGTTTTTGACCTCGGGGTTCCGCTGGCCAATCCTCTTTTCGTCCAACCCAACCCCAAATATCCAAAAGTATTTTATTTCCTTTTGATATCCAAAATAAAGTTCTTCCTACTCTTATTTTAGCCCCGGGCCGAAAATAAGAGTGTGTAAAATAAAACCTTTTGTTTGTTGTTATTTTCCTTCTTTAAAAGCCTTTATTGAGCCAATAAAACCCTCCCTTTATTCCATTCACCCCCTGGCCAAAATACACTTCACAATCCCAACATAAACACCCACAAAGGGCCAAAATCCTGACCCACCACTAGCCAACCATTCCTGCCCATGTTTCCCTCACAATAACCCAAACCCATATGTCCAAAACCACCCATAATATTGCCCAGCTCTGTCCCCTTTTATTGGCCAAACACAACCCCTCATTTTACCCAAATAATAGCCACAAAAAAAAACCAGGAAACAACCACAAGGAACCAAAACACAAACCCCCACAACACCAGCCCCCATCCCTGATTTTATCCCACTAAGGAGACAGGTTTGAATGAAGAATGCCCATGCTTTGAGAGAGGATGTTGCTAGGAAGCTTCCTCATGTTCACATTCATTGCATTGTGTATTATTTCCCCCTTCCCCTGCCTATATAACTCAGGCCTTATGGCCATTGTAACACAACCTTTGAATATTAAAATCTTTTACTCTTTGAGTCTTATTAAAATAGTGTGATGCTATTTTAGCCAAATTCCTAATTCTATATCTTAAGAGTGGTTATCTTAAGTGTGAGTTTTAGGTTCTAGATATTTGATTAAGTGTGTCATATCTTAATTAAATTCTAGATTCAAACCCCAAGTTAAGATAAGGGTGTGTAATATCTCTTAACACCAACTTGGTTTTATCCATCATTATTTTCTATCCAATTCTTTTCCCACCATTTCTATCCTTAATCCCCTGTTCTTTCCTCATATTAAAAAAACCAAAAGAACTCCTTCATCATCTCCATATCTTTCCAAGCCATTTCCCCACCAAAACACACTTCTTCCTGCCCAGAATTCTGCCCAATAATCGATTATCTTGATTGACAATCGATTATCCGTCGTCGTTGAAAAAACCTGCAGCCTTCAACAATCGATTATCCCCTTTGACAATCGATTATCCGTACTACTTTGAAACATCTGCAGCCTGAAACAATCGATTATCAGAATACTGATAATCGACTATCAATCCCTCCCGAAAATCCAAGAAACTGAACCAGCAAATAATCGATTATCCAACTTAGAC